ATTGGCTGCATCACTATAATATGCTGATTTTAAGTTCTTTGTGTGTAAACCTAGGAGTGGCATAACTGAGTCAGATGGTGGTGGTTTCATTCCAAGTTTTCTGAGGAATCTCCATACTGCTTTTCATGCATTTCTATCATAAGCAATGAATCCACCGCAAGAGAAATTAAAAACAACCCCTTTCACAATAGCCTCAAAAATAAAAAATCAAAATACTTGAGAATCAATCTAACAAGAGAGGTAAAAGACCTCTATATTGAAAACTACAGAACACTAAAGAAAGAAATTGAAAAGTCCTTAGAAAATGGAAAGATCTCTCATGTTCTTGGATAGGCAGAATTAATATCGTCAAAATGGCCACACTACCAAAACTGTTAAACAGATTTGAGGCACTTCATGTTAAAGTCTCCATGACATTCTTTGTAGAACTAGAAAAAGCAATCATAAAATTCATTTGGAAAAATAAGAGACCCAGAATAGCCAAAGCAATCCTTAACAAGAAGAGTAAAGAAGGAAGCATCACAATTCCAGACCTTAAACTATAATAAAGAGCAATAGTAACAAAAAAATGGCATGGTAATGGTACCAAAATAGACATGTAGACTAATGGTACAGAAGACACAGAGACAAATCCACATAAATACAGGTATCTCATACTAGACAAAGGCACCAAAACCATACACTGGAGAAAAGACAGCCTCTTCAACAAATGATGCTGGGAAAACTGGAAATCTATATGCAGCAAGATGAAATTAAAACCTCTATCTCTGATTTTGATCAAAATTAAACTCAAAATGGATCAAAGACTTAGACACAAGAACAGAGACCTTGCACCTCACATCAGTCAGCTTAAGAACTGACTTCCTTAACAAGACTCCTAAAGCGCAAGAAGTAAAATCAAGAATCAATAAATGGGATAGATTCAAACTTAAAAGCTTCTTCTCAGCAGAGAAAACAATCACTAATGTGATCAATAATGTGATGAGAAAGCCTACAGAATGGGAAAATCTCTTTACCCCACACACTTCAGAGCACTGATCTCCAGGATACATAAAGAACTCAAAAAACTTGACACCAAAAAACAAAACAAAACAAAAAGCAAAAAACAAAACAAATAAATCAGTCAATAAATGGGCTATGTAACTGAACAGATATTTCAGAGAAGAAGAACAAATAAATGGTCAACAAACAAATGAAAAAATGTTCATCATCTCTAGCAATTAAAGAAATGCAAATCAAAACTACTCTAAGGTTTCCTCTCACTCCAGTCAGAATGACAATTATCAAGAATACAAGCACTATTAAGAGTTGTGAGGAGGTGGGGAGAAAGTACACTCCTACATTGCTGGTGGGACTGCAAATTGATGTAACCACTATGGAAAACAGTATGGAGAGTCCTTAATTTTTTTATTATTATTTAAAATCACTTGTATTTATCTCTTCATTACATTTATCTTAGGTTATTGGATAATTTTGCAGAATTTTCTTCAAAATCATTGAATTTCCTTAAGGCACCTCTTTTAAATCTACCTGAAATTTCTCCAATAGTTATTACTATCAGTTAAGTTTCTGGTATTTTATTTCAAATGTTAGGTGAGATCATAGTTTCCTAAATCACCTTGGTACTTTCTGGTCTGCATGTCAAAAAGGGCCTTGTTGGATCAGGTATTTATGACACTCTTCTCAAAGTAATTGCATTAATGACTGCCTTTCCAGTTTTTGAGGCAGGCAGCTTATTTTCTGAGGTGAATCCACTTCCACTTCTCCAGCACTGATCATCCAGCCCCCAGGTTCAGGCCAGTGAGGAGTCTGCTGCTTGTGTGGTCACTCTTTTGGCACTATTAGGAAGTCTAAGCTCAAGTTTGTCTCGATGCACAATGTTGTGTTGTTCAATACTCTACACCAACAACCTACCAAGAGCAACACATCACTGGGAAGACCAAGGTCCATACTGCTGTATGTTGCTTATTGCTGAGTTGGACTCTTGGTCCAAAACTTTTGCAACTAGTGACAGGCAGTGCTAAAGAATAGATGTCTGATAGATTGGGGCCATGTGTTTTTTCCCAAGCATCAGAGCTATTCCTGATGCTCTGTGAACAGCCAAGCCTGGGATATGGTCTTTCTTGCATATTCAGTCAAAGCATTCATTAGTCCAGAACTAAGTTCCAGGGCAAAGTCTTGAGACACCTTGATCTATCACCAGTAAATAGGTTTTTGCTTTATACCATGCAGTCTGAGGTAGGGTAGTTTTGGTGAAGGCAGTTCATCATCCACCTAGCCTCACAGTAAGCTTGAGTTGTGATTAAATATCACAGCTCCTAGAACCTGCAAATCTCAGGGGTGAACTGAAGCCTACACTAGTTCTAACACTGGCACAGCTTAAAACTGAGTTACTGCCACTTGCGTGGCAGACTCTGGTTCATGCCAAGTCAGTTCTAAAGCAAGTCTCTGAGCATTGGTCCGGGGGATATGTGTTTCTTCAGGTTATATATTTTTTGTAATGTAGCCAAGTGTCAAGGTTGAATATTCTGTGCTATGTTGCTTCACCTTGAATTCTAATCAAAGGTACAACTTCTTCAAACATTTGTTTATTTGTTGTTGTTAACAAAGGAGATAATGATACTTAGTCATCCTCATATAATTTTGGATTTTCAGGAAGATTTTTATACTATGAAAATTTCTACCACATATTTGGAATTCCATGGGTTAAATATTAATGCATAGTATTTATTCATAAATGCAAAACAAGTTCTGTGTCTTTCTGCTAAGGTGAGATTTTTTACAAGCCCGGAGCTATGAGACATGTTGAGAAATCTCTTCTAAGAAAGATAAAAGAAAGATAGTTGGTGGAAGGCTGTCTTTGGACTAGAAAGAGGCACATCACCCAATAGTTTCCACTTTTCTTTAGAGATAATTTATTTTTCCTTTTGGTGTGTCACTCAGGCACATTTATCAAGTCATATGAAAAGCTGATAGATTCGAGTGGAATCTAGATTAAGAGCAGATCCTAGTTGCTGAGCAAGCTGCTCCACCATAGAGAGTTGACAGGATGCTGTTTGGATGCTTTGGTCCTCATAGGTGAGTTGTAGTGTAGGCCCCTAGGAGGGCAGCCCTGAAGTCTTTTGCAGAGAATTTCTCTCTCTCTCTCTCTCTCTCTCTCTCTCTCTCTCTCTCTCTTTGGCACTTGGGATTGAACCTGGGTTAATTAACCACTGAGCCACACTCCCAGGCCTTTTTAATTTTTGTTTTGAGCCACTTTCACAGCCTGCTGTGAGGCTTTCATAGAAACTGAAGGTTTAGTCGCAGGCCACCAAATTACCAGATCAACTGTGCTGCTTTTCGTAAACTGGACATTAGCTGATAGGTCACACCATAAAATGTAGCGTGCACAGCAGGGCTCCCCTGTCCGGTGGAATTGATTAGAACCAGACAGGACCTGATGGCAAACTTCCAAGAAGTGACTTAAAGGGCCATGGACACTCCTCCTGCCATATTCCTTTCTCCCTGTGGCTGAATTCTTTTCCCTCTTAGGGAATTCTCTCCAATCAACAGGGAAAAGAAGATTTGGACTTGACTTCAGCTGTTTTCACATGATATTTGGACACTATTCACAGGTGGACAGCCATAGCACTAACATGATTTTGGGGACAAACCTTATGAACAGTGTGAAGGAAATGCTACTCTAGACGTACACTTGGTGGATCATTTTACTTGGATGGAGAAATGGCCAGATAAATGATAATATTCCACTTCCCATATTTGGCAATACATAGGGATACAGAAGGAAAATTATTGAAAAAAAAAGGATGAAAAGTCTGTGGAAGAGCTGTGTGGGTAGAACTTTTGAATGTGTGCAACCCTTGAATATATTGGGTCCATTGTCAATACTCACCAAAGCATAACCTAAAGAGCTGGACATTAAAATAATAAAATGCATAGTATAACTCATTCTGTGGATACCAGTCTATACACCGTCATCTCTGCTAGTGTCCAAATAGTTAATTAACAAAACAATGTTGGTGTCAATCATAAGGCTTATGCAAAGGCTCAGTATGATACACTCTTCTAACAAAGTATTATCTTTCTATAGTCTCTGGTGACTGTTGAATGTGCCCATTAATATCCAAATTTAAACATGAAGTTATGATTCTTAACAGTGGTCTATTATAGTTCTATTGTGAAACAGAATCAATAGGATATACACAAAGATGATATGTATTATGAATATGGGCTCATTTAATGCAAAACCTAAGACTCACGCTGTTCTATCTGTAAGTTGGTGGTGCAGTTCACTCTGAGTTCAAAGACTTGAGGAACAAGGGTGTAGGTGCCACTGGTGTAAGTCTCTGAGGCTGAAGGCCTGAAAAGCTGTAGCTATAAAATCTCAGAGTGAGAGAAGGTGGATGTCAGTAAAAGAGAAGGAAAGACAAGAGAAAAGAGAATGAATGAATCAATCAGAATTTGCCCATTCTCCATTTCCACACCATTATGTTCTACTTAGTTGAGTCCTCAATGGATTGGATCATGGTCACAAAATGAATCAGGGAAGATCTTTACAATGTATACTGATTCAAATATCTTTCTTTGAAATCTCCTCACAGACACAGAAAAATGTTTTACTAGCTATAATGTTATTCCTTGGTCCAGACAACTTAACATGTAAAAGTAACCACCACAATTTCTCACACCCATGTGCATGTGTCTTCACAGAGTATCCCCTGTTCAGGGCTTCTTTGTGCCCTTGCTTTATATACATGTGCATTGACATGGAAGACAAATATTGCATGAAAATGATTGAGTACATTCATAGTTTTGAAAAAGTAATTTGATAAGCAGGCCCCAAGATGTCACAGACATTCTCATTCAGGTACAAAGCATAAAGTTTCCTGATTCCCAGGCAACAGAAATTAGCAGAGGTAAAGGTATAATTTCAAGAACTTGAATTCAGTGTAAGTTTTAAAATATGGCTGATTACATGAATAAGTTAAAAATTATAAAGATTATTTTGCTTCCAAAACAATTTTTGTGAAAGCACTCTTGACCTCCCTGTTCCTCAGGCTGTAGACCACAGGGTTCAACATGGGAATGACCATAGTGTAGAACACAGATGCAAGTTTGTCTGTGTCCATGGAGTGACTGGAGCTGGGCTGTAAGTACATGAAAAGGGCAGTTCCATAGAAGACAAAGACTACGGTGAAGTGGGAGGCACAGGTGGATATAGCCTTCCAATATCCTGCACTTGAGTGCATCTTTAGGATGGTAATAAAAATGCACAGGTAAGATATTAATATGACTAGGATAGCAAAAAAGATATTGAAGCTGCCTACATAAATAAAAACCAGCTCATTAACATGTCTCTCAGAGCAAGAGACTGCCAAGACAGCTGGAATATCACAGAAAAAATGATGGACTTCATTGAACTTACAGTAGGTGAGACTGAACGTGTTCCCAGTGTAGATGGAGGCATTCAAGAAACCACAGACATAACAGCCTATGACCAGATATGCACACACTCGTGTTGTCATGGTGGTGGTGTAGTGCAGGGGCTTATACACTGCTGCATAGCGGTCATAGGCCATTGAGGCCAAGAGGTAATTTTCCACAGTAGCAAAGACTCCAAAAAAGTACATCTGAGCAGCACAAGCATTGAAGGAGATGAACTTGTGTCCTGGGAGGAGCCCAGCCATGACTGTGGGCGTGACAGTTGAAGAGTAGCAAAAGTCCACCAGAGACAGGTTTCCTAGGAAAAAGTACATGGGAGTGTGGAGACGGGAGTCCAAGACAATCAACAGGATCATCCCCAGGTTCCCAGCCAGAGTGATGGTGTAGATGAGGAGGAAGGTCACAAAGAGGGGAAGCTGCAGACCTGGGTCATCGGTTAGTCCCAGCAGGATGAAGTGTATCTCTTCTGTCCTGTTCTCCATCAATGTTGTCTGAGAATCACTAGATAATAAGTATCATTTTTAAAAAAAGCAGAAGGAGGGAGAATGATAAAGTTATTGAATTGTAATTGGAGAGTATAAGATGTATTATTTTATTATTTCCAGAACCTGCATTTTGAGATTGTTTAGAGAAAGCGTGAGCCGGAATGACAAACTGACGCATTGATTATAAACAGGATTACGTACTGTATGATCTGAAGAATCTTAATGGAATGTCTATCCAGTTTAAAAGTTTTATGCATTTGTTAACTGAGATGTAACAATGAAATACCCTGATCAAAATGACTTATGTAGATGGATCTATCTAACAATCACTTCTCCTCTCAATTAAAGCTGGGTATACATCTCTTCCATATTTCCATGTTGCATGAACCATGATAGACAATTTAGATGTCAATCATTGTTTCCTTTCACCAATATCAGGCGGTTAACTGGTTGTTACATCCGCTTAAGTTTTGAAACAAAAGAGATAGAGCAATCAATACATATTCACCCTGGGATTATTTGTCATACTTTGCTCTGGACCTATGTGAACTTTTAACCCAAGTTGACTGGTTCCTGAGTCTAATGGTCAAAACTGAACTTTAATGAAATCAAATTTAACTGAAATTGTTATTATTATTTGCCTGTTTGGGTTCATCCTCAGTGTTTGGAATATCCATGATGAACTGAGTGAGTGATTGTTTGGTGGCAATTTGATCTTGCTCACTATATATTTGCTTCCTATGGGAGTTAAACAAACAAACATTCAGAAGAGAGGATCCTTATTGCAACCACTAGAGTGTCCTAATGAATGAACAATATCTGAATTGCACTGCCATTTTTTCCCAACACTATCATCTTTATCTGCTGCGAATCTCCACCTGTTGATTAGGATGTGGTTAAAATGTAATTTTTGTTTAGGTTGATTGTTTAACTTTTGAATCACTGTAGCACAAGTCTGTGTGTAGAAGATGGGGGGGGTGGGTAACTGGTGGGTGGGAGCCTGCAGAAATGGTTCTGAAAGGCGGTGCATCTTCTGATAGAGCAGACACAGACCTCAGCTTCCTGGAAGAGATGCATATCAGACCTACCATTTGCCACCTGGGTATCATTGTTCCTATGCTCCACAAATTCCTTGTGAGTTATTTTTCTACAAAATTCTTTTCTTGAAATACACATTTTAGTCTGTGTTTGGAAGAATTAATTCTGCTTAAGGACATTTCCTTTTGTAATTACTGTCACCTCATAGTCAAGTCACGGAGATCATAATTTGAATGTTCCCAGTTAAAAGATCTCTATTGGTGGCAATTCCTACATTGAGAAATGTGTTATTTGAATCTTTTGTGTGTGTGTGTGTGTGTGTAGTAACAGTATAACAGTACTTAAGTATTCTTGTTTTGAATTGAATTCTTTGGAAGCATATCCAATCAATACTAATACGAATACTATTACTAATACTAATACTATACAATATAATATCAATACTAATACTAATACTATTCCCTACTTAGTTTTCCTAAGTCTTTGGCAACTTCACATTATGACCCTGCCCTATGAAGGCAGTAAGTTGGTCTAACTTAACATGTATTACCACTTTGATCATATACTATGTTTCACAACAAGTGATCAGGACTTCATATATCAATGCATGTATGTGACTGAGTGTATGTCTATGGTGGTAGGATTATTTATCTTACTAAGTTATTAAGTAAATTTATGATTTGAGTACTCTCTCTTTCTTTCTTTCTCTCTCTCTCTCTCTCTCTTTCTTTTTTTGGTACTGGGGATTGAACTCAGGGGCACTCGACCACTAAGCTACATCCTCAGCAGTATTTTGTATTTTATTTAGAGACAGGGTCTCAACTGAATTGCTTAGCACTTCGCTTTTGCTGAGGCTGGCTTTGAATTCACGAACCTCCTGGCTCAGCCTCCTGAGCTGCTGGGATCACAGACATATACCACCTCACCTGGCTTGATTTGAGCAATCTTAATTTGTCATTTACTAAATTTAGGATTTGAGCAGTTTATAATACTCTACAATTGTATAGACAGTATAAAAAATCCTCAACATTTAAGATTCAAATCAACAATCTAATAAAAATGTGCTTTTAGGTTCATCACTGTCAACCTATGTAGTGATAACAATTCTAATATGTGGAAAAAATGCAATAGCTTGTAAATTTATTGAGTACCCATTCCTAGATTAAAGAAAAATCATTTATGGCTAGGAAGATAGCTCAGTAGTAAAGCAATTGGGTACCTTATGCAAGGCCCAGGGCTTGATCCCAAGCATCTCTCTCTCTCTCTCTCTCTCTCTCTCTCTCTCTCACACACACACACACACACACACACACACAGACACACACACACACAGACACACACACACACAGACACACACACACAGACACACACACAATACATAAACAAACAAACAAACAAATAAAATAAGGACCATTTCATTTTCCAAGGATTTTTGTGTCTGCTTTTGTTTCTCTGTTTACTTCCAGTGAGACATAGTCATATCGTGAACAAGACAAAATCACCAGCTAATCAATCAGATCAATATGTGTCTTACTTTGTATGCAGATATTTGGGGAAATAAGCATGATGTGTCATAAAAATCAATGAACTACTTATGATGGAAGCTTTGATATGTATACTCCAAATTCATGTGAGCTGTTCAGAAGAATGTTGTGAACTTCTTTTTCCCTTTTAAGTGACTCTAAGTAAGTATAGTTGCCCCTCCCCAAAAACTTTTGAATGAATTACAGTTCTTACTAGCAATGTTTATGGAATACAGAAGCTTACCAGTTTGCTGGAGAAGCAAAAAAGAAATCAATCCAGAATAGTCAGTTTGAAATCTTGAATCAGCCTCGGTGCATTGCATAAATTCTGTTAGAAGAGTTCTCTCTTGGGTAGTGGTCAAAAAGTGCCAAATTCTCCAGGCGGGAAAAAATGGAGAATAAAACATCAACAAGAAATGTGTTTTCAATCTTCCAGGATTTCTTTCTGTTTTATGAAATATTCACAGTTTCTTCTCCTTTGTAAAATAAGCATAATAAGATTGCTTTGTTCTCATAATCCACAGAATGTTTCTGTAAATAACAGATAGTTCCTCCATTACCATAAAATATGTAGTGAAGAGATATTCATTTAAAAATCAATGAAATTTTTAGGTTTGAGTGTGCTCCCTGACCAAGGTTGAAGACTCTTAGAAATCCTCAGGTGAGAAGAAGGCCTGTGTTCACATAAAAAGATTATCACTCAGAAGAATGAATGTTACCCAGTGGGGAGTGGCATGCAGATGTCCCTTACAAAAACAGAATGATGCTTGGTCATGTTTGATTGGATAGGCTATTGCATGGATACAAGGCAAGAATTATACAGACTTGTGGTCTCTGGAGATTTTCCCTGTGAGACCATCTAGAGCTCCTGATCCTACTTTGTTAGAGAAGAAGCAATTAAGCTGCCTGGAGGGATCAATCTGATTATTATTCATTTAAAATTAAATTTTTAACTGATAATGAAAAACATAAAAATTGTAAAGATGTATTGAGGTAACCTGACATGTCTACACATGAATGCAGAGTGTAATGCGTTAATAAGGTCAAACATGTCTAATCTCCTCAAATATTTATCATTTCTTTTTACTGGTACATATTTTTTGTACAAAATAGTGGGTACATAATAGTGGATATTACCGTGGCACATTCATACATGAATTTAACAAAATTTAACCATTTAATTTCTTTTAAAAATTTGTTTAAATTTGTTTTAATTAGTTATACATGACAGTAGAATGCACTTATATACTTTGATATATCATACCTAGATGGGATATAACTTCTCATCTTTCTGAGTATACATATTGTAGAATCACATTGGTCATGCAGTCACATACATACATACAGTAATAATGTCTGTTTCATTCTACTATCTTTCTTATCCCCACATCCCCTGCTTTCCCCTCCTTTCACTTCCCTCTACCTAATCTAAGGTAATGCTATTTTTATGCATTACAATTCTTAATACACACATATACCACAATTTTTGTATCTCTCTTTGTATATAAAGTATGTTGACACCCAATTCGAGTCTTCATACATGTACTTTGCATAATGATGTCCATCACATTCCACCAATCTTGCTAATCCCCTACCCTCTCCCTTTCCCTCCCTCCCTTCTTCCCTATCTAGAATTCATCTATTCCTCCCATGCTCTCCCTCCCAATCCCACTATGAGTCAACCTCCTTATATCAGAGAAAACATTCGGTATTTGTGTTTTGAGGGATTGGCTGACTTCACTTGGCATTATCTTCTCCAATGCAATCCATTTACCTGCAAATGCCATGGTTTTGTTCTTTTTTAATGCTGAATAAAATTCCATTGTGTATATAGGCCACATGTTTTTAATCCATTCATCCACTGAAGGACATCTAGTTTGGCTCCACAGTTTAGCTATATTCAAACTTCTTTCTTCTAAATGAAATAATTCAATAAATGTCTTTCTGCCTTGACTTATTTCACTTAACATAAGATCTCTAACATGTTATAGATGTCAAGTTTTCATTTTGTTTCATAACAGACTAGAATTTCACAGGGCGTATGTACTCTGTTTTCTTTTTCTACTCATCCATTTGTGGATGGTTGTTTCCATTTCTGGCTATTGTAAACAGTGCTGCAAGGAACACAGATATGCAGATTCTCTGCACACTGATTTCACTTCCCTTGAGTTCATACTTACTAGGGGGAATGCCAGATCATATTGTAGTCCCATTTTTAATTTTTTGAGGAACTTTCAGTTTCTCAGAATGTCTGGAGTAAGTTACATTCTCATTGACAATGGGCAAGGGCTCCATTTCTTTCTACATCTTTGGCAGCACAAGTTATCTTGAGACTTTTTGATAAGGCCAATTTTACTGTGGTGATGTGAAATCTCATTTTGGCTAGATTTGCATTTAGATTTTTATAAACCCATAGCAATTTATAGATCTTCTTTTGGGAACTATTTATTTAGGCTTATTGCCCCTTTTTGACACCATGCTATGTATTTTTTACCTATTGATCTTTTGAAGTTCATTATATTCTAAATATCAACCAATTTTTAGATGCACACTTTTCAAATATTTTCTCCCATTGAGTAAATTGTCTCTTCTCTCTATTGATTATTTCCTTTGGTGTGCAGAAGTTTTTCTTTTGATATAAATGGGTATTTGGTTATTTTTCATTTTGTTTCTTGTACTTTGGAAGTGTTCTCCAAAAATATCTCTGTGCATTCCAGTGTCCTGAAATATTTTCTCTATTTTTTCTTGTAGTAGTTTTTTTTTTAATTATTATACCATTGTTGTTATGCAGATTGAGGTATACACAATATTCTCCAGTTGTCTTTCTCTGGTTCTGACAATCAGCAGGCTTACTGTTCCAGCAGGTGCAGCTACAGATGATGATTTATGCCTTCACAAGCAGGCATCTTTGAGTGACACATACTGAGAGAGCCCCCCACTTACTCATGAAAACTGTGTAATGGACATGAACTACCATAAGATTTCATAAGCAAGATGCAAATCTTTTAGAGATTAAATAATGACCCCCTAATCAAAAACTGATATCTGATATCTCTAAATATCAACTTCTAAGACTATAGTTTTGCAGTTGTAATTAAATTTAGTATAGAACAATGAGATCTTAATCTGGGTTATTTATTGGGCCCTATGTGCTGCTTCCAAATCCTGATAAGAGAGAGGCAGGAAAAGTAGTAGATTAGGGTATTTAAAGGTCTATTACTTCACAGAAACAAACCTGTGATGAAAGTAAACAGACTGAGAAAGAACATAAAATGTGTGAAAATCAATTTTGTTACAATTATGAACCGTTGTCTAAAAAATTAATTTAAGGATGAACCAATAAAAATGTGACTTCAAGTGAGATTTAAAGAAGTCTTTGTCAACTGCCAGCTGACCCAAAGGAAGGCAATATAGGCATCAAACCACACATGATGAACACTCAAGAAACTCACTAAATACAAACTATGTCCAGAGCAAGCAACAACAAAATTTTCTTGGAAAGTGTGAAGAATTCCATTTTCAGAGTTACTACAATATAATATTTTAAATATATAGTTATTAATGACAACAAATAGATACAGAAAGAAATAAGAAACAGATTAGTAGAGAAGTTCTCATCAGAAATCCTGAAGGCCAGAAGAGAGATGACATATTTAAGATTTTTTTTAAAAAAATCTAAAATCTGACCAATCAGTGTATTCTAAGGAAACTTTCCCTCAAGAAAGATAGACAAAATATAGCTTCTGAGGTAAATAAAACTTGAGAGTTGATCACTGGTACAGCTGCTCTACGGGAAATGGTAAAAAAAATTCTTCCTTCCTAGAATTTAAAGATTCTAGAAAGTAACTAAAAGCCATGTTATCATTACATTGTACATCATAGATATATGATTATTGGTCAAGTAACAATTAAAGTATATTTTAATAAAATAAACAGTTAATATTAATAAAGAAAGAAAATTTATGGAGGTAATTATACAAGTAAATAAAATATAAGCATTTTTGTATTTTTCCTTATAACTTTAGACTATGATACATGGCTTTAAAATGTATAAAATATTTATTATAAACCCATGGTATTGGGTACAAAGTATATAAAAGAGAGATGAGGTATCAAAATTTTATGAAGTTGTAGGATTTGGTCAATCTATTATAACGAACTTAAAGTTTAATTATTTTATTCATTTATTTAACAAATATTTATTGAGAATGAACTATAATATAGGCTTTATTCAGGCCCAGATTATCACATTTGAACAAAAGAGATAAGTCACTGTTCTCATAGAGTTTATATTCTTGTTGGGTAAGATAAATAAGAAGCCAATAAGCAAAGCCATCGTAGGTGAGTGTGGAGAAGGTCCATGAAGATAATATAGTATAAAGGAGGCACTCTATAGTGTGAAAGGAAAGTGACTAGTTTATAAAGGTGACCAACGAAGAACTCCAGGACAGGGTTAGATTCAGCAAAGACCTGGGTGGAAATGAGAGCATTCCTTAGAGGGAGCACCGAAGGCAAAGGTCCTGAAGCGTGGCCATGACTGGAGTGAGGATGAAGTTGGGCACAAGAATATGAAGGTGAGAGGGTTGGAAAGATGGTGCAGTAGAGAAAGGAGGCACTTCCTACTTGTCCTGCTATTAGGAATTTGAATAACAGGAATAGCACTGCATAATGACTTTATCCCTTTGGGGAAGGGAATAAGATGGCTCTCTCTCTCTCTCTCTGTGTGAGTGTGTGTGTGTGTGTGTGTGTGTGTATGAATTACCAATTTATAAAAGCATTCAGTAGATGGAAGGAAGGCCAGGGGGATCTGGGTGGGTGGAAAAGGGGAGGTAGAGAAGTGATACTGGGGACTAAGTGGAATGAATTATATCCCAGGCATGTTTAGTTATATCAAAATGAATCCCACTATTATATATAGCTATAATGTACAGAAAAAAACATAAAAATACTATGAATGTGACAAAAGAAAATATGACTAATAAAACAAATAAACAACAACAACAACAACAAAACCAAATAGGGAGTACTGATGTTTTCACAGCCTTTCTGGAAAGAAAAATGCACACCAATACTATGTTTCAATGTACCTTTTAAATAGTCTGATAAATTGACATATGTGAATACATTAAAATGCTTTTAGTTTTCTTCCATTTTTCTGGTAATCTTGCAATTTTATCCCTTTAAGCATTAAAATATGAAGGTGTTGATTGTTTAAAATGACAAAATCAAACAAATATTTGTTTACCTGAGAAGCTAGCTTTATATATCATTTGTAAAAATGTGCAAAAAAGAACATACTTCATTCAATAGCATATCTTTTTCCCCCTCAAAATAGGACTCTGAGAATAATAGAGAAATAAATAATTAGATATAATTTTATTTTAATACCATATTAAAGGTTAAATGATTTTTAAACACTATTAGTCTGGGTTCTACAGACAAACAGAATCAACAGGACATGTATAGACAAGTGAGATTTTTATTATGAGTCTGGGCTCACGTGACGCAAAAGCTAAGAAGCCCGTGCTGTGCTCTCTGCCAACTGGAGAACTAGGAATACTGCTGGTCAGTTCATTGAGACTTGAGAAGCAAAGATGTGATGAGTGTGTTTTAGAACCTGAAGGCCTGAGAGGCTGTAGCTCTGAAATCCAAGAGTGAGAGAAATGGATGTTTCAGTTGGAGAAGGAGGAGAAGGAGAAGAGGATGAGGAAGAAGGAAGAGGATGAGGAAGAAGGAGGAGGAGAAGGAGCAGAAGGAGAAGGAGAACAAGAAGAAGAGGGAGTAGGAGGAGGAAGAGGAGGAGGAAAAGCAAAGAAAGGATAATTTGCCTATTGTACACGATTTTGTTCTACTGTGAGCTCTCCATGGATTGAATCAGACTAAAACACATGGGTAAGGAAAGATTTTGCTAAGACTACTGATTCAAAAACTAGTGACAAACCTCCTCACAGACACACTCTGAAAAAATGTTTTACTTGTTGTCTTATTATCCCTTAATACAGTCCAACTGCCAGACCCCCCCACCCTACCCCTCAAAAAATTGCCACGAACAGCCACATCAAAATCAATTCTGGCAAATCTGCCACACCAATGTAGGTGTATGTTGTCCTCACAGGACGGCCAACTTCACTTTTTCTCATGGGCTTTTATGTTTACTTGGTTTACAAACCCGTTGACATGTGGAAGAAAAATATTGCATGGAAAAAGATCGTACACATCAATATCTTTAATCAGTGATTTAACAAGCAGGCCCCAAGATATCACAGATATTGTTATCTAGATGTTATTTTTATGGACATTAAATTTTTTTCTCAGATGAAAAATTTTTTCAAAGGTAAAGGTATTACTTTAAGAAGTTGAATTCAGTGTGAGTTTAAAATATGATTTGTTACATGGATAAGAAATCACAGGGGTGAGGACACATGTGAATCTCAAAGAGTTAAAATCAAGTTGTTAAAGATTATTTTGCCTTCAAAAAAATCTTTGAGAATGCACTCTTGACCTCCTTGTTCCTGAGGCTGTAGACCATAGGGTTCAGCATGGGGATGACCATGGTGTAGAACACAGAGGCAACTTTGTCAGTGTCCATGGAGTGACTGGAGCTAGGCTGTAAGTACATGAAGATAACAGTCCCATAGAACATGGAGACAGCAGTGAGGTGGGAGGCACAGGTGGATATGGCTTTCCGATACCCTGCAGCTGAGCGCATTTTTAGGATGGTAATAAAGATAAATATATAGGATACGAAGATAAGTAGGAGAGCAAACAAGATATTGAAGCTGGCTACATAAATAAGAACCAGCTCATGGAGATGTCTGTCAGAGCAAGAGACAGCCACAACTGCTGGAATGTCACAGAAGAAATGATGGACCACACTGGACTTACAGAAGGTGAGACTGAACGTGTTCCCAGTGTAGATGGAGGCATTCAGGAAACCACAGACATAGCAGCCTATGATCAGATATGCACACACTCTTGTCGTCATGGTGGTGGTGTAGTGCAGGGGCTTACACACTGCTGCATAGCGATCATAGGCCATTGAGCACAAGAGGAAATTTTCCACATTGGCACATAATGCAAAAAAGAACATCTGAGCAGCACAAGCATTGTAGGAAATAACTTTGTCTCCTAGAAGGAGCCCAGCCATGACCATAGGAGTGACAGCTGAAGAGTAGCAAAAGTCCACCAGAGACAGGTTACTAAGGAAAAAGTACATGGGAGTATGGAGATGGGAGTCCAGGAGAATCAGCAGGATCATCCCCAGGTTCCCAACCAGAGTGATGGTGTAGATGAGGAGGAAGGTCACAAAGAGGGGAAGCTGTAGACCTGGGTCATTGGACAGTCCCAGCAGGATGAACTCTGTCACTTCTGTCCTGTTCTCCATCGGTTACCTGAGAATCACTAGATGTTAGGTAGCAATGAGGACAAAGGAAGAGAATTGGCAAAGGCATTGAATTCTAATTGGGGCATATAAGTACAAGATATATTCTTTCATTATCCCAATAACTTGTTCTTTTAAGACTCCTTGAAAAACACATTTCTGCTTTAATTATACAGTGAGTACAAGCTGTTGGATCTGAGAAATCTTAATAGGTCATCTACTAAATTTAATCATCATGTATAATTCTTAGAGGCATTTTAATATTTTGAAGAAAATGGCTTGTGTGGGTGAATCTGTTTATCACTCCTCGGCTCAGTAACAGCTGACACATCCATGTTTCTCATCTGCCAACAACTGCGGTAGACACTTTAGATTTTCATCTTTGTTTCCTCTCAACAATCTTATGGGTTTAATTGGTGTTACATTCACTTAAATTGTGAAACACAAGAGGTAGAGCCCTTAATACGTATTCACACAGTATTATTTGTCAATCACTTGCTCTGGACCCAGGTGAATTTCTAACCCAAGCTGAGTGGTTCCTAAATCTCATAGTCTAAAATGAACATAAAAGAGATTAAACTTAATTGAAATTACAATTACTCCTCCTCTCATCTACTGTGTTTCAATCTCAGTGTTTGATATTTCACAAGTGAAATAAATAGTGAGTGATTGGATGTAAATTTCATCTCATTCATTCTGTATTTGCCTCTCATTGGAGTCCTAAATGAATTAACAAGATCTAAATTGCATTGTGACCTTTACCTAACTCTCTTGTGCTTATTATTCTCAGCATATCTGCATATGTTGACTATGAGGACTATGATGTGGCTATAAGCATAAACTGTGATTAGGCTGAGGAAGAATTTAACTCTTTCTGATTTCGTTGTTGTTGTTCCTGGGGATTTAACCCAGGGGCACGTTGCCACTGATCTATTTCCCAGCTCCTTTTTAAATTTTTTAAAAAAATTGAGATAGTGTCTCAATAATTTGCTGAAAGCCTCCCTAAGTTTCAGAGTCTGGCCTTGACCTTGAGATGCTCCTGCCTCAACCTCCCAATGTGCGGGGATTTCAGGTGTGGACCACTGTACCTGGCAGAGTTTACCTCTTGAGTCACCATAGCAAGTCTATGTGCAGTAGATGTGGTGGGATAACTGGTGGGTGGGAGCATGTTCAGCCTGCAGAAGCAGTTCTGAGAGGAGGTGTATCTGATACAGCAGACCCAGAGCTGAGGTTCCTAGAAGAGACACGTATCAGACCTACTATTTACCACCTGGCTATCATTGCCCCTAACCTAACTCTCCTGAACATCATGTTTCCATTTGCAAAATGAAGACAGTATTAAGACCTATTTTTAGGTATTAAGAAAGATACTGTGTAAAGGACAATGGATGTTATATGTGTCTGGCAAGCAGAGCTTGGTGAGTGTTGGTTATATTATCATTAGAATGCAATTACGGTCTTTATTTTTTTTTATTCATTTATTTTGGCATAGAGGCAGAAGTTTATTTAGAAAGATAGATATACATTCAAGGAAGAATGCAGGCTGCAGCCCTGACTTGGGCTTGGGGTCCAATATTTATAGAAGGGCTGGATCAGTGGCTTGATTGGAAGTGGAATTAGGGTGGAGCTGCAATTTCCCACCAGTTTTTCTGCACTTGTATATTCCACTCATTTTACAAGGGCAAGGACTAAGAGTGTGAGCCAAGGTTTGCAACTGTGTTTTCTGCACATCAGTGGCTTGATTCTGCATTTCAATGGCTTGTTTCTGTATTTTCTCTCCTTTCCCTAAATCCCCATCTCATCTCCCCACCCCAGACTTTGGTCCCTTAATCTTAAGGGCTGGTGAGGGGTAAAGAGGATCATGGTTTTTAATCGTGGTTTGATCAGGTTGGATGCTGACTGTCAGGGCCTCTGTACTGGGTGAGTAGAAGTCTCCAGGCTTCTCTTCTAGCCTTTTTCCTACACAAGGGCCTGTGAGATCTTTTGTGCTCTCCTGTGTTTCTCAGGCTGTTCTTACTTTAAGCACAAGATTACTGCTCCAAAAGTTCCATGTGAATGACTTAAAGAAAAAATTTCCCTATAAACTAGTAATTTAGATGGGGTAAAAAGTCCATTCTACTTAAAAAATTATTCTTTCTGTCATTACTGTGACCAGGTGGCCAAATCACAGAGAGCAAGGGTTGAAAATTCCCTATTTAAGGGCTGTTTTTAGCCCACAGATCTCTTTTGGTGGCAAGTCTACATCTTAAAACACATTATTTGAATATTTTCTTGTGTTGGTAAGAGTATTTAAATATTCTTTAATTGAAACGAATTTTGGGGAAGCATATCTGTCCAATACTACTATTCCCTACTTATTTTTACTAAGACTTTGGTTATTTTCACTTTATGAAGACATGAGGTTGGTCTAACTTAACATCTATGACCACTTTTAGCATGTACCATCTTCCAAAATCAATAAGGGTTTCACATAGTAGTGTGTGTGTGTGTGTGTGTGTGTGTGTATGCTCTCTCACTTCTGTGTGTATGTAGGCCTATGCCAGGTAGGGTTACTCAAATGATCTATCTCATCCCCTGGATCTCCCTTTTATCAAAACACAAGATTGAAAGCTATCCTCAATCTAATAACAAGTGCTTGCTTTTAGTCATGCCATTCTTAATGATTGCCGATATGCTAGTAAAAGTCAGCCTGAGATTATGTGGGAAAGTTTAATATGCAGGTCGGAGTTTATTAGTTTGTTGAGGAACCTTTTCTAGTTTAAAGAAGTATGATTTCACTTTTTCTGATTTTTGTTTTTGTTTGTTTGTTGGCCTCAAATGAGAAGTAAATATATAGTGAACAAGACAAAAATCACCAGCTAATCAATAAGAACATTATGTGTCTCATTTTGTGTGCAGATTTTTGGAGAAATAAGTACAATGTGTCATTAGTATTAAAAAAATCACCTATGATGGAAGCTTTGACATTATACCCCCTATTTACCACAGTTTCTCAGAGAAATGTTAAAGATTTCTCATTCTCTTTTTAAGTAACTCTAGGTAAGCATAGCTGCCCCACTACTGTTGCATGCATTACACTTCTCACTGATGATGCTTTTGGAATGCAGAAGCTTACCAGTTTGCTGCATGAGAAAAAAGTCGATCCAGAAGAGTCAGTGTGGAGGCATCAAATCAGCCAGAGTACAGCATAAGTTCCAGTAGAGCAGTTCTCATTCGGGTAGTAGTCCAAAGTTTCCTCATTCTCTAAGAGAGGGAAAATGGAAGGAGAGATCCTTAACATAGATCAAGTTCTAAATCCTCCCTGCATTCTTTCTGTTTCCTAGAAGAGTCACTTTTTTCTTCCTTATTTATAAAATAAACATGACAAGATCACTTCTCTCCTAAAGTCCCCACATCAATTCTGTATATAACCAATAAAGAAGGTCTGTAGAACATCTGGTGAAGAGGTTACCATTTGAAAGTCCATCTATATGACTTCTTTTTTTTTTTTTTTTTTTTTTTGGTGCTTTCCCTGACCAGGTTGAAGACTCACAGTAAATCCTCAGGTGAGAAGAAGGCTCTCTGCACTAACAGTGCTTGGCATTTAGGTGGGTAAGCAAGGACCAATGGAGCATTGCGTGGAGTGAGCTCCTTCTAAAACACCGTGATTCTGAGTCACACTGGGATTATAGAGCATAATAACTGGATGCCAGGAGAGAATTATAGAGACTTGGAGATCTCTGGAGATTTTCCCCATGAGACCATCTACAACTCCTTATCCTTCTTTGGTAGGGAAGAAGCAAATAACCTGTCTGGAGGGATCAAGCTGATTATTATATATATATATATATATATTTTACCATGTCATATGTTTTAATTTGATTTTTGAAGGTAGTGCATTCATGTGATTACCAAAGCAAAATTAAAGTGAAAAGTAGACATTGAGAAGTTTCACAGACACTATCTTCCACCCTGTTATTTTACCTGGTTCTCTGTGGCCAGGACTTTTATTAGTTTCTTGGATTGGAAATAGAATATAATCTGCTTAGATAAAAAGTAATGTAGTATTATGTACATTCTTCTACACCTTGCTTTTCCCATTTAGCTTGTCCTGAAGGTCTCCCATATGAAAACATAAAGCTTTGTTATTTCTTGTACAGCTATATAGTATTTGGTTCTATGGAGATACCATAGTTTAAATATTTTGTTTTTCATACACTAGATTTGCCATTGTGAACAGTGTTACAATTAATGTATCTATGTCACACATGTAGAGATATAACTACAGGAAATTTTCCAAAATTAAAATCACACAGTTATGGGCTGGGGATATAGCTCAGTCAGTGGGGTGCTTTCTTTTTTTTACGGGCTTTTTTTTAATTGGTTGTTCAAAACATTACAAAGCTCATGATATATCATCTTTCATACATTTGACTCAATTGGGTTATGAACTCCCATTTTTACCCCAAATACAAATTGCAGAATCACATCGGTTACACACTCACATTTTTACATAATGGCATATTAGTGACTGTTGTATATTTTTAAAAGTAAAAATTTTAACTGATAAATGAAAAACAAAAATTGTCCAAAAAATAAGATATTAAGAGATGTTTGTGTAAATGAATACATTGCACAATGTTTTAGAATATACACCTATCTCCTAAAGCATTTGCCATTTCTTTCTTAATTGGTATATGTTAATTATACTGAATAGTTGGTATCCTCGTGGCATATTCGTACATGCATACAACACATCATTATCCAAAGTACATGCATGAAGACATGAATTGGTATGAATGTACTTTGTATACAACCAGAGATATGAAAAAATTATGCTCTAAATGTGTAATACGAATTGTAATGCATTCCAATAAATTTTATAAAATTTATAAAATATAAATTTTAAAAAATTAATAAAAAATTGATCATGCATTGGGTTTTAAAAATACTTTTATTGATGAATCAAAATTATATACGATAGTGGGCTTAATTGTGATATAGTTTCACTTACACATAGTGTAATCTGTTGCATT